TCTTCGCAGATTCTCCAAGCGCGCGCCAACTTGTGATGAAGAGAGGAGTTGGAAAGGTGAGGAAAGTTGGCAGGGATTCAGAACAGGAAAGACTTCAATATGGTGCAAGCGCCAACAGACAGCAACATGGCAGACATCAATACAAAGCCGCTTGGAGGACAAAGAATCAGACACACAGATACTTGATGCACCTCATCGGGTATTGGCGCAGTGAAGAGCAAACAAAGAGTAGGTGAGCGTGAGAGAAAGGTGTGTGTATGAGGAGAAAAAGAACTTTGCGCGAAAGGTCAACAAGATTGCCAAGATGATTGTGAGATTGGTAGCGTTTGAGGGCTTGCAGCCAATGGTTACAGAAGCATTCATGAAAGAACATGTAGACAACCAGTGTGGATTGGAAAAAGTGGAAGAATCCAATGAAAGCTGGAAAGCTGGACAAATTTGACCATTGTGGTCATCGCAGCAGTGACCTTTTGCAATGAAACGCGATGGGAACTACCCGTTTCAGAACAGATGAAGCAGAATTCAGAATGGTAGAGCTTGAGAGTATGATCAGAGAGAATGAAGAAAATTGAAGAAGAATAAACACCCTCTTTAACTATGCCAGGAGAATTCATTGCGGATTGATTCTCAATGGAGGCTTTGTGGAGCGACAAGTACCAGATCTCCAAATTGTAATCAGTTATGATGTATTGTGTGAGATGAATGCATCAAACTTCTTGGCCAGAAGGAGCTTGGAAGATATGAGAGCAACAGCAGGCCAATTTCAGGATCATCATGTGATGTTGCAGGCAGCCTTGGATGGAGCAACTCCATCAGAAGGACCATTAAACAGAAGATTCAATACAGGAAATAGAGAACAATTGAACACAGTAGAATATGTGGTAGGGCAAGCAATGCAAATGTGCGGTCGACTTGAAACAAAGATTGAGCAACTAAGTGAAAAACATTGGGACCTACTAGGAAGAGGACTACAAGATGTAGCAGATCAAGTTGAAAGTGAGAAGGAGAAGTATGAAGAGTTTGCTAGAATGTACAGTAATGAGAAGAGACCATCCAGATAGACCCGCGCCAAGGACCTCAAGGAACCCCGTTCTTCTAAAGGAAAAAAATAGTTTTTGAGAGAACACATGGAAATTTATGGTGGCAGAGTGAGCTAGAAAAAAGATTCGACACTACCAGGAAGGAGTGTGTAGTAACTTCAATGCAGATCACAAAATGCACTCGCAGCCTTTTTTGTGTCAAGGGACAAATTCGCAACTTTGTGCATTACGAACTGCATACCAATGAGTCAATGAATGATAAAAGAACCAACACCAAAGCGGTCCATACAATTTTCTTGTCTTCATTATCAAAGCTCTCTTCTGTCACGGGGTTCACGCCACACTTCTCCATTGCTTGAGTTGGCTGTGCTGCATCTCCCAAACATTTTGTCTCTGTCTCACCTTGTTCAAGCTCTCGACGATGAACATGTTTGTACGAGTGCCTTCTGCGGCAATAACGCGGATGCTTTTTCTCCTCAACAAACTATTCCACATCCCGGCAATTGGCACACATGATCTGGTATCTCTTCTGCTTCCAAAACTTCTCCATGAAACAACACCTTTGCTGCATTGTCACGCTCTTGCTCCTTTGCTGCTTTTGCCTCATTACCTTCTTCAGGTCAAGGCACGAACTCCTTTATTGAAATTGTGGGCAAAGGCATATTTTGCAGTCGGCTTGGTTGAACCATCTGCAACCTGCTGAGTGGAATTCACCCATCGGAGATAGCCAAACATGGCATTCAGCCTCTCCTTCACGATGTAGACTTCTATAGCTGTCCGTTTGTCTGTGACTCGAAGTGCAGAGACCGACCTTGCAGCATCAAACAGCGACTTGGCATCCGTCGTGTAGCGCCGAACTTCAATGCAAAGTCTCCATGGATAGAGCTTGTCGGAGAGACCATTGCTGCAAAAGGTTTTCACCATTCCACTTCATCTATTGCCCCAGCTGCTGATTGTGCTTCTGCTGAAAGTGACGACCGGCACATACGTGTCAGCTTCCTTGATTGCTAACAGGATCGTAAGAGGAAGTGGTTTTCCATGGTTTTCCACTTTGCAACTCCTCATTTGTTGTGGCAAAGATGACATAGCCACCTTCGGAAGCTCCGTCTGGCCTGATTCCCCAAGACACGTCAACATACACGCCAAAGCGGACATCTTCGAGACCTTCTCCATGCTTTCTCAGGGTCATGCTCTATCCTTGAGCCACCTCCTTTGTGAACCCCAGAAGCTTTGCCACATTGATATCATTGATGGTAGGGCTGCTAGACGATGCCTGTAGCAGTGAAATGCTGGCAGACAGCTGAGGCAGACATTGACCGGCTACATGCTTCATCCTTTTGGGCAAAGTCCTATGCCTGACAAAGTACGAGGTCATGTCTGCATTCTTCATCCTCTCAAACTCTGCAAAGAACTCATACCTTGATGGGGCCTCCACTTGTTACTTGTACTGATAAAGGTTGTCCAGGATGTCTTACACAAAGGAAAAAGGTTTGCTGCTTCGTACCAGTGACTCTCAAAAAACTCAACACGGCGTCGAACACTCCTGTATGTCTTTTGTCCGAGCTTGAGGCTGTTTATACTTGGGCATGCCTTTGAAAGACTTGAGTCTAAACCTTGGTATCCTGATTTAGCTGCGCTCTCTGCTGTCTCTGTTCTCTCGTCGAATCTCCCCTAAGGTCCTATGGAAAGTCTTGCTCCCTAGGCGTCCTCCCTCTGCGTTGTGTTCTTCTTTGTGGTGAACTTCGTTCTACACCTTCTGCCAAACCTGCCATCTTTCTGCTTGCCGTACTCGATTTGTGAGATGGTGCCTATGAGGTCCTTTCACAGGAAAACAAAGACAGCTTCAAACACGCAGTCTCAGCGTCCAAATTCGCAGAGTGGTCTGGTCAGTCGCCAGCTCCGCGACCAGTCTCAACAAAGGGTCGATGTAGAGCACACAAAGTCTCCTCCCTTCAAGCTGGAAACATGCACCTTTATCATGTCGCCGCACGCCGCGCAACGGTGGTACTCAAGGGCCCTCATTTGAGCTCCAAATATGATGGACAATACGAACCTGACAAAGATTCATTGAAATGCGCACGCACATTGACAAGACCCCTCGATTTTTCAGGGCGTCCAAGTTATATCGAACAAGCCCTTCAATGTTCTTTTTCCAATATTATACTTCTTTCATTCATCCAGTGCATGGTACTTGTCATCTCTGGGCCATCATGGATACTGTATTTTTTAAACAATTGGACACCCTTGAAATTGTACAGTGTTCACGGGTCCCAACCTATATCCGACAGCGCATGCAAATGTGGTACTGTTCACCTCTAGGTCACATATCGATCATGCATAGTCATAGTTTATTGTAATCAGTCTGTCTTCCGACCTAGGACCTAGAGGCGACAAGTATCATGCAGTGGATGAATTTCTGAATGAAATCAATATAGGGAAGTGTCAGATTTGCATTGTTGGATACAAGTTGGGATCCTGAACAAGGTACAATTTCAAGCGGTTGAGAAAACAGAGTGACTATATATATAATAAAGGTTTACAATATGAATGATGACATAGAGATGCACAGGCCCATGCAGTGGATGAATGAAAGAAGTGTATGGGAAATAAGAAATCAGTGGGCATTGTTTGATTCAAGTTGGACGCCCTGAAAAAGGTACATTTTCAACTTGGACGAACAGTGGAATGATTTCAATAAACTATACAACATGCATGATGACCTAGAGATGACAAGCACCATGCAGTGGATGAATTTCATTAGTGTCTCATTATTGCATCGTTTGCGTCACCAAACCTATGAAAGGCGTACTAACGATTCCTTTCAACAGCCTGGACCATTTCTCAGTGCAAGCATACCACTCGATGGCGCTTTAGTAGCTCAGTGTTCGCACCCCAGCAAAATACCCCTCAGCACCTTGGTTGCAGGCGGATTTCATAATTGTTTTCCATTCCAATTTGCCTGTTAATGGGGGACACTGCCGAGTTCGCACATCCACACAACAGGTCAACATGAAAGCTTAGGGGGAGTGCTTTTCCTGATGTGACAAGCTTTGGCGCCGTGACTGGCCGTGGGTCCTGTTTCAAATTTGCTGCATCCAGCTTGCAAATTTTGTTGCAATTGATGTTCATGGGGATGCTGACACTGCCAATGCGCAAGATTGGATGCTGAACATTCGTGCTAATGGATCACTGCATTTGCAGTTTGTCCTGTGGAATCCACAAGACTGGGTCGCTTTGCAAAGCGCTATCAAAGATAGGTCTAGTCAAACTTGGAGGGACTGCTCACCTGTAAGAGCCATGAGGCCATGGTAGCAGTATCTTCGATTTCGACTGGAAAATTGTGTGGCTAAAGCACCCAGAAGTCTTTACAATGTCAGCTTTTAGTATTTCCAAAGCAAAGATAGATCTTCATGCAGTCGAAGTTGCTTTGTGATTCTGTCTTTGGAACGAGGGCGCGCTCCGCGATTGCAACACGTGTCTCAAGTCTGGAATCTACTCGTAAGTGATTGACTGCGCTCCGGACACTTGATACAGTATTACTAGTGCATCGGGCACACCGAGAATGATTTAGGACAGTTGTACAGAATTCAGAGAGACGGCTGATAATGGCAAAGAGCTTGAAACAGGTTGAGCCTCAATGTATCAAGGCTTCAAAATGACTCCCTCAAAGCCTTTGCACCTACATACCTTTGGGTTAGGTGCCATAACCCCTCACAGCATGGGTCAGCACACATTTAATTATTGCGTTTTGACTGAGAGCACGTTTTGGAAAAACAACTAGCAGACTAGCAAGAACTTGAAGTGTGTGACTCCGGCGGGTGCCAAATTTAGAACTAGCCAGCTCCACTGTCTGCCATTAAGAGTTGGATCTCACCCGCAAACCGCCGGAGTTGAGGTCTTTCCTCTTTTCTCTGGTCTCACTTTCATTTTAGATGCGTCCTCGCCTGAAGATCTTGGAGAATGAACCACGAGGCTTTGGCTGACCTTGCTTCTAATGATTATTGCATGCAGTTTTGGTGCAATTGCAAGCGAGATTCAATGCATGCAGCAAAGAATCTCCTCAAATGCCTTTGCGGCAGGGCGACCACCTCGCGGTGGAAAGGGCACCCTCCAAGCGACAGGAACGACGGTCGCAGGAGGCACCAACAGACACAGTGCTCAAGTAGCAGCAAATTTTATTTCAATGAAAAGACAAAAGTGGCACGAGTTCTTTGCATACATTGAATTCCAACTCATTCGACCAATTGCTTGCACTTGCACCTTTCCTTGAAGAACATGCAAAATCTGTTCAGTTGTTGGTGTTCGAGAATTGTGCCAGGTTTGGGCGGACAACCTGGCAGAAGAAATGGCTAGGACTGCTCATTATGAAGTAGCTTAAAAACACACAGAATATGCATGAACATTTCAAAATGCTCACTGCTTGAAGTTTTGTACCTCAGGATGGTTGATGTTGCCGAGAACTTTCTGTACGTGGCATTGGACACGCAGGCAATGATGCGATGGATATCTTTCTGCGTGCTTTGTGAAAGAAAAACAAGCGATCTTGTCAGGTTTTCGCTGTAACCATCAACATAGCACCTTAAGCACCAACAGATCTAGACCTGGAGCGCTTGACATTTGTTCTGTTTGTTGCTCTTAATGTTTCTAGGTTTAGTTTGCTCCCTCCCGCCCAGTTTGGGGGCCTTGTTCTACAGCCAAAAGGGCCGTTCACCTCCTTGTCGGAGTGAGCCTTTGCGGTGGCGTGAAGACCTGATCAGGAAGGAAAGATTAGATGACTTACTAGTAGCTTCTTGCTCCTAGTAGCGATGCCCTTTGTTGCTAGTAACTAGTAGCTTTTGTTACTGTGCAGGATACGAAACATGACACGGACAGCAGACGCAGAACTCGATGCACGGGAGGTACCACTGGCAAACTTTGAAGGCCAATGTGGACCTGACAAAGGCAGCTTGTTTGTTTGCTGTGAATTGGCGCAGACTGGCTGTTGATATATGGTGTATGAAAATGTATTCATGTCACTGTATATGCATGGGTGCTCGATGACTGAGAGCACCAGGTAATTGCGACTTCACCCACATATCCATGCGACTTCACCCACATACCATTAACCTGACTTCTATTGTAAAAGCGAGTGCTTCGAGACACTTGTGTCTACATGAAAACAGAATATAGTTTTGCTTGGCGCAAGCACGTATGTAAAATACTTGTTGCAGTTTAGGTAGGAAGGGCGTCTATATTTTCTTGGGGTGGTTTGACAAGTAGGGGTTTCATTTCTTGGGGGCTTGGTTCTGATTTGTCATTTTGTTCCCCAGATAGCGAAGCTATGGGGTTCTTACTTCAAATAACAATGAGATGCCCGTGCGCGCTTTCGAGACAGGTTGCTGGTGCCGGTGCTGGTGCTGTGAGCTGGCTGTGCACGCGGTGGAGACAGGTTGCTGGTGCCGGTGCTGGTGCTGGGTGCTGGGTGCCGGTGCTGGTGCTGGTGCTGTGAGCTGGCTGTGC